TGACCTACGCTACGAGACCCTAAACCATACACTCATCGAAGCTCTCACTGCTAAATACGTTCCCCCTACCCGTTTGAGTATCTCAAAATCTACTTACTTATAAAATAGTTGGCAATCAAACCATTGCCAAAAATGGTTTCTAAGAATTCACCACCAGGACTTCGTTCTATGTTTGAATAATGTCGAATATTATTAGCAAAAAATGCGTAGATATTAACAGCTCGGACTTTTTTCCACAGTATCATCAGTGCCCTCTCTTGAGATTTCTCATGACTTTTGAATCAACTTAATACATAAATTGTTATGAAAAGTGATTGACCACAACTTTCTTTTTGAACTTGATGTGATTTTGACTTTTCTACTGGCAGCTCCACTTATAAGGAAGTGGAATCTCGAGAAATCTTCCACTAGGCTTCCTTAAATTGCCAAGATAAATGTGTGATGCATAACATATTCGTCTATAATTCACAGCACTTTTGATGAGCAAACACGGCGCTATTACATGATTCTTTATTTGCGATCAAGCTGATGCTTCGGCAGATTTCACCTCTTTCAGAGCCTGAAAAGGTCAAGTTGATTGCACTCTACCCAGCCAAATACCTTCATACCCAAGACGGAGAAAACGGTAAGCTAAGATTTCAAGAGAATTCGAAGCAAAACCGCTTCCTTGAGTACTTACTGCTTACTAATTAACATTACCTATCTCCTGTAAATAGAAGGTTTTGCTTAACCGATGTCGCTGTTGCCCCAAAATTCTACACAGGATCAGACCATCGCCTCCTTCGAACAAGATTCCATTTCTCGCGAAAAGCAGAAAAAGCCGCTAATTCAAAAACCGAAGCCCCAGAAACACCACAAACTGGGACTTATTCAATTCATTAGTCGGCTGTTGGGAAGAAGCCGTTGTCGATAACATCGACGAAGAATACGATCGCTTCATTCAACATCTTCACGTCAGCACTATGAGTGCTGAGAGTTCGAAAGTCACCAAGAGACGTTTGTCTCCAGGAGCAATCGAGCTGATACGCCAACGTGGAATCGCACGATCTGCAAGCAACTGCGAACTAACTTCCGAACTTGCAAAGCAATAAGGAGAGCTGGTAAAAAAAGATCTTAGAGAGAGAACAGCAGCAGTAATGGCCGAAGCTGCAAAGACTGTGAAAAGCATTGGCAAAGCCCACCGAAGCCTCGACAATTACGAGATCAAAATGATTTCCCTCCGGCGCCCAGATGTAACAGTTACAGCGTCCGGAAAGGCAATGGAGAAAATCATTCACAAATACTACTCGGATCTCTTCGATAGCCACGTCCACCTTCCGTCATATGAAATAAAGGAGGATGGATATGTTATACCACCGGTTCTCCCTTCCGAAATGCGGTATACCACTTCGTCGGTGAAAAATCGAACAGCACCAGGTCCGGACGGGATAAGACCAGAACACCTGAAGAACCATGCGCCAGTCATCGTAAACACACTGGCTCGGCCCTTCACATGTTACCTGTCTAAATGCAAGGTCTCTACTCAGTGTAAATTGAGCAAGACCGTGTTTTTGTTCAGCAAGGATGACCTACACGATATCGGCAACCATCGCCCAACTTGCCTGCTGTCGTGCTACAAAGTCTTCACTGGAGTCATCCTAAACAGGATTGATAGAACACTGGACGAAAGACAGCCATGTGAGCAAGCATGGTTTCGAAAAGCATTTAGTACGATGGACCACAGCCACACGATAACAAGGCTCATTGAAGTATCGCGAGAGTACAAAAGACCGCTCTGTCTCACTTTCATCGATTTACAGAAGGCCTTTGATTCAGTTGAGATGGAAGCAGTCTGGGAAGCCCTTGATAGTCAAGGAGTCCCTACTCAGTACATAAAGATTCCTCGTAGGCTGTACAAAATTTTACAACTAAGACGTTACCATTCTACAACGATATTAACATTGACGCCAAAGTAGAAGTTAGGCAGCCTGATACCATCTCTCCAACCGCCACCCTCCAGAACGTCAAGCGAACATTGGAATGGGGTAATTTGGGAGTGGAAATCGACTGTCGGCAGTTATACCATCTTCGCTTTGCTGATGACATCGTCCTTATAACACCAAACATTAGCCAAGCGGAACGTATGCTTGACGACTTTGATAAAGCCTGTGGAAAGATTGGTCTTCGACTAAATCTCATAAAACAATGTTCATGAAGAACGGTTTGGTTTCGTATGTCCCATTTACGCTCAACGGAACGAATATCTCCGAAAGCTCCAGTTATGTCTATCTAGGCTGGGAAGTCAATATGATGAACGACCTAGCTCCAAAGCTGAGCAGAAGAAAACGAGTGGCTTGGGGAGCATTGAAGAGCATCGAGGATGTAGTAAAAAAAACAAAGAATACCCGAATCCGTGCCCACCTTTTCGATTCAACGGTACTTCCTGCTCTAACGTGTGCGTCAAAAACCTGGTCTCTGCGTAAGCAGATTGAAAGATCACTCAGTGTTATCGAGCTCATAGTCGAATGGACGATGCTAAGAGTATCCCGTTCTACACAAGTAAGCGATAGGATCCGAAGCTCCAACCTGCGTCAACAATCAAAAATCAAAGATGTCGTTCTGTACGCCAAGCAGTCAAAAATAAGATGGGTCAAACATGTAATGCTTATAAACGACAGCTAATGGGCAAGAGCCGTTAGTGACTGGATTCTTCAGGATGTCAAAGCTACTGCAGGAAGACCACCGACCCCATGGTCAGAGTTCTTCACAAGGAGCCTTGGAGAAAGACATGGTGCTCGACGACTCCTTAGAGCGAGCAGAACCCACTAGGCTGCTCCTGCATGCGACAGGAAAAATTGGAAAATTTACTGGTGCCCGCTCAGGTCACTCGACGATTAACGGGACTACAGGTGATACAGGTGATCGCCTGATTAAGATCATACATATTCGTATTTTCTAGTACGATAGCAATACTGTGCTAGGTGTACATCTATGACATGACGTTTTCAATCCTTCCAATTGCCCATAACCTTGTCATAACCAGCTCCTGCTGTACCTTGGTGTAGAAGTGCGCTCAACTGCGAAGGTTTCATCTCACAGTGGGTTTATATAAGCCGAATAGAAAGTAAAAATTTTCCCAAGGAAAACCAGCAGCTTAGAAAAAAACCCGTGCTACCTCAGAGTCTGTCGATCTATTCTCCCTATCTCCTCATCAAAAGCAATAAAAAATGCCCCAACTTGAAAAATTGGGAAAAATTGTTCAACGTATTCTTCAAACAGGCGGAGTTAATTGGGTAGTTTTGTTTGGCGCTCGAGTTACTCGATGATGAACAAGTACACATGTAATACAGGTAAATAAATCTTTTATTTGCCTAAGTATTTAGTTTGTTTATTTTTTCAAGCAAAAGTCTTTTACGTTTTTTTCCAAACCAGACCATTTTTTCCGAATTTTGATCCCTCTCATTTCTCCTCAATTTTTTTCTGTCTTCCTGTTCATGTTGGCGGATACTGTTCCATTTGAGTGATGCTGATCTTAAACCCTATATTAGCTGTGTGTCAATAAATTTCATGTGTTTTTGTTTGTAATTTTAATTTTTGCTTGCATTTTTTTATTAAATCTTTGTGTTTTTTATGCGGTTTCTGTTGTTTTCGCATCTCCTGCCATATAGCCTCTTTTACAGTCAAGTTATTCCATATTAAAACCGCAATCTTACACAACATTGTAGCACGTGGCTCTACCAAGGTTACGGTAGAGATAGCGCGATATTGATTGGTTCCCAAGAGACCTATCTAGCTGAGAAATATTTCTTCGTTTTGGAGTTATCATGGTTTATTAGGAACAAATACCTGGTGGTATAAGACTTTTTACAGAAAATAATATTTAGCACTTGCTATAGTTCTCAACGGTTTCAGCTAATTTTTTTTCCTTTAGAATCATTGCTTAGGCGCTTCTACATTTAATAATGGGCATTATTTATAAAGCTTTCATCTTTATGGGAGTATATAAATAGATAGCTTTTCCCAATAAAAGTTTTTAGGTGTTCGTTGTTGTTTTTAGGTTTAAAGAAACATTGAACACATCAGCAAATATGTGTATCGATTTTAATACCGTGATATTTTTGAGCAGTTAATTTATCCCTTCAATATTGCAGAAGCATATCTCAGCTCAACAGTGAACGTTTCTAATTAAAATAAAAGTTATTCATGCTTGAAGATATCTGCCTGTGAAATGTGTGCCTGCCTATTCTATAGCAATGAAAGCCTGGTTTCTGGAGGTGTCAAATCATTTTTTCAAGTTTTTTTTTATTCTTCTCGGGGTTCCTATTTCGTACTGGGATAAAATCGCCACATAGGATTTCTCCTAGCAAAATGCACTGCCACCCTTTAATCCATCGTTAATTTCTTCGGTTTTCTCGTTTAGGTTAAACTATGTAACTACATGTACTAGTTCCTAAGTTCTTAAAGATAAGACATTTAAAGGAATTTCAACACTAAAATGTTGATTTGAAAAATATACAGGTATTTCTCGAACGAACCAAGCAACGTTTCTTCTATAGGTCAATTAGGTCCACAATTCAAATACTCAAGTTATTGGGAAATAACTGATAGTTATTGAAAAATGCGCTCCATCGCCAAACTGTTAAAGACAGCAGTTCATTCATAATTTATATGTGAATATGCAAAAGTCAAATGTGTTGACTTCTCTCTTTAGAAATAAATACCATATTGCTCTTGTTCGTCGGTGTTATCCGTTCGTCATAACGAAAATAAAGACACAAATTTTTTTACGTGAGTCGAATTGATTTCAGTCTATTTATCGACTTTTTCCTTGTCTCATTCTACAGTTATCATACATTCTGTGCAGCGTTTCTATCAATTGGTCATTCTCATCGTAGTCATCAAAACATCTCCGTGATCGTGGCAACAGTCGTCATCGCTGTCATTATCATCATCATCACTATAATCATTATCACCATCGTCATCATAGTCGTCTTGATAATGGTCTCTGTCTGCCATCATGATCATCTTAATGATGGTTCCTTATCCGATGGTCTGATGATCATCATGATTGTGGCCTCGTCGTCTTCATCATCATCATCATTATGGTGATCGACGTCGTCATCCTCATCATGGCTATCGTCGTCGTCGTCTTCGTCGTTGTCGCTTCCAGTTTTTTCGGACTTCTCTCGTGTTCCGATCGTTCCCCACCCGCATTCCGTTTGTGTCGTCGTCGAATGTGACATTGTGTGTCCCACTGCTCAGCGCTCTTATCGCTGATGCCATACCACTTTCTCTGACGATTTTTTATACTACTTTTTCTCTTTTCACCCTCATCGTTTCGCTTTACTTCTTCATCTCATTGACGCTCAACTCTGTTTCTCTTATCTCTCGACCATCGACGCTGCCTGTCACTTTCTCGTTTTTCTCGAATGCTCACTTAAGAAATTTTTCTCGTTATATTTCATCTCCAATATATAGCTATGGGTTTTATAGCTTAATAAAAATCTCGCCCAGATTTGTTCTACCTGTTAATATATTTTTGTCCAATTATCGCCCCTCTCTCATTTTTTAAATTCCTTCTCCTATTCTTTCGACAATTGTTAATTCGATTTCCTCTCATTTTTGTCCTTATTGCTGATTAATTTTTCCAATCCAATATCTTAGTGCTTCACATTTTTGACGACAACTTTCCTTTCTTTTCACAAAAATATCACCTAATTCTCGAGCAAGCTCGCTACGCCTCCGTCGCAGACAGCGATTTTAATGACTCTTTGGCCGTTTCTCATTAATCTGATCCAGTTTTATACGGACCCGCCCCCATATTTCCATAATTTTATCTCTTATCTTTATATTATCACTAATCATCATTTGTTTCTATCAAATATTGGTCGTCACAATTTTCCCTGTAACTGGTTTCCTCCTTCGTTCATTGGCACGCGTGTAACTAAATGTTGAAGGGATGACGATTTCGGCAGCGTTTACTTCGATCATTACGTCTTTAGAGAGCAAAAATTTGACGGAAGTGTCTATATTTACGTTAATCTGCGTTTTTATTAAAGAATCATTTAGAAATAGAGGATCTAGTGACTGATTTTGAGCGATAGCGTGAAGGAAAGGCTCAGTAATCGATCTCATTGATTTCAAATAGCTGGAGATTTATATACCTAGAAATCATTAACGTATTTCATTCATTCGATAGCATCCGTTTTGGAGAAATCGTACGAGTTATGGGACAGTTTTCATTCAACTAGTACGTTTCTGGTTCGACAAGATATTTTCCTAAGGGTTCCGAGCCAGCGACCTGAACCAAACCGCTGCGTTCCAATATCGTCAGAAGTGTCAGTTTCTCACCCTTGTGCAGCACGGTTAGAAATTCTGAGCATCATATTAGGCTCGATGATGTTATCGAATAAAGGAGTTACTTGCTGCTTCTTGCTCTACATCGCAGTTCAACCCTCAGGAATATTTTCCCGCAGTGCTAAGCGGACAACCTATAGGTTGGGGTGGTGAGAAGTAGTTTATGAAATAGTGCAGTATAAAAGTAAAATCTGGTAATCTTAATAGTAAGTGCAGCAGTGAACAACATAGAGAAAGGTAATCTTTTCTATTACCTGTTAATTATTAGAATAATGCTTCTTCACACCGTAACATATCTGCCTTGAGTCTCATCTCATCCTAGCAGACCTGCCAAGCCGAATGGCTCGATCACCTAGTGGTAAACTCACTGAATGAATAGTAAAGGAAGCCGCACGAGTAAGTTCAATGTTAAGGAAGTGGAGTTATTTTATGATAAACTGAAATCGTTTCTTAGTGGTTTTTAAGATTTTGATCTCACTTTTTCAGCAATAGTTGTACCTAGGAATCTGTAGTGTTGATAAGTTTTTCGTATTCCATACATGAGATATCTACTCTTCTCATGAGGAAACAAATTTTTTCACTGAGGAGAAAAACGAGGAGAAGAAAACATCAGGGAAAAAGAGCGCTATCGTGTGAGAAGAAAAAGGCTAATCGAAGTTTCATAGTTAATGTAGAAATAAAAATAAGTTACGGCAAAAAATGCATTTAATCTACATCGTTCATTTTTTCTTTATGTATCCGAGTATAATTTGCCAGCACATGGTTTTTCTTTCTTTTTTTTTAATGAAGAGAATTCATTTCGACAAAGATAGGCAATCACTTTCTGCTTTCTTGAGCGATGAGGGGAGTAGAAAGTGCCTTTCCCACTTGGTTATGTTGGCAATATATGCATTATCATGTTTCTTTATCTATTTGCTTATGTAGCTCAACATCATATGTTCTGTGGATCCGCAGAACTTCTCCTATCTGGTTCATCCTTTAGATGTGGTTCTGGTAACACTTAAAGACATCGTCTTTTTCACCACTGTCGTCGAGTGCTAGTCAAGTTGACATCGCACTGATTCTTTCATAGCTCTGCTAGAGCGTTTCTAGCTCTTCACGACAAGCAGCTACCAGTGTTTGCAAATTCGAAGGAGTTTATCCTAGACAATCTAGTATCAATATGCCGATTTCGTAGGGATGAGGACTTAGCAGGTCCATAACGAGGACAAACCAGACATCATATACAGGGATTGTACGGTGTTTCCAACCTGGTTTGTATTCCTTCTCATCAATAATTCATAATGCATATTTATAACTACTGTTTTTGTTTTTAACATTGCTTAACTCAATCAGCTTAAGCATGTTGTCTTCTATTTTTTTACAGATATCTTTCTGTACATTAAGAGTGTTCTCTTTCAGCGCATCATGGCTAACACAACGATGAATTTACTTGATACTTGATACCTGGAATGGCCCGTCCTCATTCGTTACGGGCCCCAGCATAATTTCCATTTTTCCGAGACTTGTTAGTTAAGCCGTTGTGGTTCCCTGGAGTTCCGAGGTCAGCCTGGCCAAAGTCCGCCCCAGGTTTTCACAACCACTGCCAGTCGCCGCCATTTTGGATCAGAAGGAGATTTGCCACCGTGCGACTAGTTTGGTACCAGGAGGGTGACGGTTTCTGGTATTGGTTTACTTTTAGCCAAACTTTTAGGGCTTTCTAATAAAAAGGCCGGGATGAATCTCCTGCTGTACATCGCAGTCCGACACCCAGGAACACCTCCCAGCCACGATGAGCCGGTAAACCGCTAGGAGGGAAGATAGATTTGGCTTGAAAAGATCAGGAAAGTTGTAATATAACAAATTTAAGTATAATTGTTATGCTGTTTTACATTTTTAAATTTGTTGGAGTTCTATCGTTTTAGGCTTTCAAAAGTTTATTGATATTTAGCAAAAAAAAAGATAAGTTCGTAAGGGAAAAGATCGCATAGGCATGATGCTGGTTGTTATGCCATGCCTTGATATCCTGTCATGGTTTTGCCAAGTAACATCAATTCCATGAACAGCTAAGCCATCGGCATTACCATCATTTATCCCAACATCGCCTCTTCTCTTTGGCCTCCTTGTCAGCGTGACCACATCATTAGCATCACATCGTTGTCACAAACGCCCCGCCACTCCACTTTCTCCATCTTTCCATCACCATCATCGCCATCAGCAGTCTAAAATCATCATACCTGCCACAACTGCTACTTTTATCCTTTCATCAGTGCAAAGCCATTGTCATCCTATCACCGTTGTAATGCTGCCGCTATTTTGCCACAGTCGCCATATCATCAGCATCCTGTCATTGACACAAAACCCACCTCCACTGCGCCGTCCCCATTCTTCCATCACCACCATCGCCTTCAATAGTCCAAAGTCGTCAACACGACACGACAATTTTTCTACTTCCATCCTTTCACCGGCACTATAGCCGTCGTTGTCCTATTATCGTTTTACTGCCATCGCTCTTGCCTTGCCATAGTCACCATACAGTCCTCATCAGTAAACAAGACCCCACCATCGCCACTCTAAAACTTGTTCGAAGCATTATATTAGCTACTGAAGAAACGGACCTTTATGAAAATTAAAAAAACAAGTTCAAAAACCCGCCACCGTCAGACGTTAAAAATGCTGCTTTCTTTATTAATCTATAACTCTTCTCTTATAATGTATTTCCTTACCAAATCAATCTACTATTCATTTCCTTCGTTTTGTAAAGTGAATCAAGCTTCTTGGACAATAAGTCGCTATTTTCTTGATAAGCACGCAAGACGTTGTGATTATCTTGTTTATTAATAGTGGCTGACGTCCTTGCTGTATTCTCCTTCTTTCGGGCCTAGAAGGGCCAAATTCATGCACAATCTAGTCACGTTGGAAATAAAGCGGCTTCTTTACACACACTCACAGTTTTCTATATCTTTCGGTGAGTCCTTCAAGTGGAGGCAACAGCACAGGGTTTACATGGATAAGTAACATATTATGCAATTTTGTTATGTGCATAGACGGTCGTACAGGCAGTTACGAACTAGCTGATAACTGAGTGTCCGATGGTATTTCAATTACTGTTACAGCGTTCTCTAGGCCGACGCTTTCTAATGGACACTTTATAGCTTCACTTATTTCGTTGGAAATAAAGGGCGGAATAAACGACACCTTATTCTCACTACACATATCATTTGGGAGCATTTTTTCTCTAAACCTATTCCGAACAGCTACCGTTTCGTAGCCACTACAAATCGCTATTTTCCGCGCGAATTCCAGGAATTCTTCCTTCTTCTCCCTTCCTGTGCACACAATGGTAGCTTTTCTAAGCATGTTTCTCAAAAGCTCGTTTTTGTATATGAAGGGTGAGAGAAGAGGTAATGAACCAGTATGTTTTTGTTATTGGCTTTCGGTGTCATTGGAGGTGTTGGCATTTTCGGATAGATTAATTTGAGCGTTCGAAAATTAAAGGCAGTTTTCTTTCGGTTTCTCTCAAGTAAGCTTAATGGACTATGACTCTTCATTCATTAACCCAAAACATTTGTCTATCTCCTATTGGGTACAGTAAATGATAAAGCATTCATCTAATATCTACAGTAATGACCAGGGATCGATTACTGGAGTTTTCATCTTAGCTAAGGAACAATAGGAAGGCTTGGGGCCACTTGCTGTCGCATTGCTAATCCTCTCATTTGTGTGAATTAAGTTTGTCAGATTATCTAAATTGTTCTTCTTTTGTTGTTCGCTAATGATTCTCCATCAAAACGAGCTTATTTTCTAAATGGAATGACATGGCAGTTTTTTCTGAGGAGATGCCACATAGGCTTACTTGATGATCAATGAATACCGAAAACCAATAAACACAACTAGAATAATGCTG